TACTGGTTCGATTCCCTCTGTAGAAGTCCAACAGAAGAAACCAGAGATGTCATTGACACGTTAGTTTTATGTCTATATATTTATTACATATAAAGTTTATAAAAATGTGTTCTAATGTTCTAATATTCATGTTCATAGGGCTTTTCACACTTTCAATTTTATGACCAGGCATCAAAATATGCAATCACCAACATGGTTTCTCCCACAAGTATGTTGTTTTGAGCTAAATATGTAGTTATAAATCTTTTCAATCATCAAATTAGATAATGCTTATAAATTTTTTATTTTTTCAGTATCGTTGTCAATCTAGGAAAGTTGAACGCGGATATTATGTCATCCGTTATATCAATGACATTATTGAGACAGGGGTAACTGAAAAATTGCACGAGGTAATTAAATATAACTTATGTTGCATGTAATTCTGCTCATTTTTCCATGTTTTTAATCAAGTTGACTAATGAATCCATTTTTGATTTACAGGCATTCGAAAATGTTATGCCATATAGCATGGATGAGATCAACTTGATAAGAGACTCTTTGTAACACCTCACATAATTATATCAATATACGCAATAAAATATTTAATTTAAAAGTCCATACATATTTTTAATATTGTAAACAAGTCAAAATTTCAAAACATTTCTAACATAACTTAACATAAATTATTAAAGTCTTATAGTCATGGCAAATAAAAATATAACATAGCATATGCTTGAGGAGCACAAAAGCCTTCACGGCTCACTCCATTGGTGCCTTCCCTTGATTCCTACTAAATTCTTCTCCTGAAAATTGTTAATATAGGGGGTGAGATCAAACGTCTCAGTAACTACTGAAATTCTAACCTATACAAGCAAATCATATATGATAAACCAAAAATCCGTTTATGTGTGTGTGTATATAAATATATTAAAAATCACGGATTTGATACATTCAATTCAATTTGATGTTTTTTTTTCCAACAATATACCAATATCATTTTTCTAATATATCCAAAAATAATGCAATATGCTGCCTCCCTTATATCACCGTCCACCCTTATACCGCTGACTGGAGCCATAGGCTAACACATAGTCTGATAGGAACTAATCCATTTTACTGAATTATTTCAAGCTCACCGATACGAGAGATATATCCGGCCAAAGATATAGAGCTCAAGCTCGGACTATGGCTCCCCTCCTTTGTGAATAGGGAGGTGTCACATGTCCCACAGCTCCAATGAATTCCCGGCCAAAGGAAAACATGGAAGAAGGGGCCCTGACAAGTGCCATCCACTGTGCACCGAGTGATGGCATACCACGTGGTAATTTTATATCCATGCAATCTCCTTCTATCCTTAGCCCAACAATGCATATCAGATGCCAATAATGTTACATCATAAATACGTCCTCAAATATTTTAAAGATAAGATAGCAATAAAACTTATATACCATTTAATAGCAACTCACGACAATTCCTTAGCCATCAATATATTTAAACATTGATCATAATTAATAGCAATAAATCTTAACAAAATCAAATAACATATCAAAACATTTATTTGAAATCATAATACTACTTTTCAGTATGATATAAAAATTAGTAAATCCACAATATCATCATACACAATTCACATGTACAAGAAAGAATTTTCAGAGTTACCTGGTACTCTTTAGCTTACAAATATTCACACAAAGATTACTCCAAAATTCTCAAGTCTACAAAATTGCACATAAATATTTATTAACATAAACTCAAAACTGCTCCAAAGCTACTTTAAAATTCTAAGACTACCCTCTAAACCAAAGTTATATAAATATATTAACTCTCCCAAATCTAGGCATTTATAATAAATATTATTTTGAAAAATAATTTACATATAAGGCTATTTAACCCAAAATCTAAATATTTTATATTAAAATTCTCAATTATTTATTATAATCTCATTTAAAATTTTTCCTCAAACCAAACAACTTCTTTTTAAATTATAAACAAACTGTAGCTTTATCTAATTTCACAAAATTCTCAATTTATAATTTTTCAAGCCTTCAAAAATTATTTCAAAAATATATATTTAATTTATTCAATATTTAAACCGATTAAAACCTCACTAATATATTAAATAACTCAAATAAATTATTTAACTCAAATTTAATCGGTAAAAACATATTACAAGTCTAAATAACAAACTTTTCAACTAAAATCTTAGTTTAAAATTCTCAAAATAATCATTCAACAAAAATAAACTGATTAAAATTCCTTAATAATGTATCTTTAAATTTCTACGGTCATATATTGTCAAAACTCCATATTTAATCTATACCCAAACAGTAAAATTTTCTCTAAACATTATAATGATAATAATAATATAAAGCTATAAATATATAGGAAATATTCATAAAGAAAATTTGATAAAGAGAAGTATATTTGTGTACCTAAATGATCCCCAAAACTTGTCAGGTGCTCTGCAACTTAGCTTTCTCTCTCTTTCCCTCTTTGCTTCTCACTCTCTTCTCTCTTCCTTTGATCTCTCTTCCTCCTCCGTCTCCTCTCCCCCTCTTTTAAACTCACTCCTTCCAACTTCTAACTATCCCTCCCCATTTTCTTCATTCATTTATTGTTTTTCCCCAAATTCTTCCTTCATCCGTTCCTTTTCTTTCGTTTTCTTGCTCCATTTAATACTTGCGCCCCTTGTTTCTTTATTCTTGACTAATTGCCCAACTTTTCCACCGACTTAAGTGGAAAAGCTGGGTATTGTTTTTTTTTTAATAATATAATATTATATTATTTTAATTAATTGATTTTGATTTTTTTTTTTACAGTACATTACAATTCTTTCCACCTAAAAAGAATTTTGTCCCCAAAATTCGATACATGAAAAGAGAAAGAATTTACTTCAAGCAGCAGACACAATTACAAATATCTATACTACACATTAAAAGCACAACACAAGTACAATAAGTACAAGTACAAGTATACCATAATACAATCACCAATACTAACATAATACTAACTCTTCCTAATCAAACAAGTTAGGAAAATCACGCCGCATTCGTTCTTCGGTTTCCCAGGTGGCATCCCCAGGAGACATTCCTTTCCAGAAAACCTTAAGTAACCGAATAGTTTTATTCTGAAGTTGCTTATCCTTAATGTCCAGAATGCGTTCAGGTTCGGCCTTGAAAGTAAGATTCTCTTGTAACTCGATCTCTTCAGGCTCAATCACATGAGATGGATCTGGGTGGTACTTCTTGAGTTGTGACACGTGGAATACATTATGAATATTGGCCAATTGTGGAGGTAGGGCAATTCTGTAAGCCACTGGTCCTACTCTCTCCAAAATTTCATAAGGACCTATAAAACGAGGAGTGAGTTTCTTTGCTCGGATTGATCTGCCAATTCCTGTCACTGGTGTGACTTTTAGAAATACATGGTCCCCTACCATGAATTCCAATGGTCGTCTTCTCCTATCTGCATAACTTTTCTGTCTGCTTTGGGTAGTAAGCAACTTCTGTTGTATCATCTTAATCTTCTGAGTTGTGTAATCCACCAATTCTGGACCTATCAAACTTCTCTCGCTCAACTCTGTCCAACAAAGTGGAGATCTACACTTTCTTCCATACAATGCCTCATAAGGCGCCATTTGAATACTTGAGTGGAAGCTATTATTGTAAGCAAACTCTGCTAAAGGAAGGTGATCATCCCAATTTCCTTTTAATTCAATTGCACAAGCTCTTAACATGTCCTCAAGAGTCTAGATAGTTCTCTCTGTTTGTCTATCAGTTTGGGGATGGTAGGCAGTGCTAAACCTCAACTGTGTTCCCATGGCATCCTGCAACGATCTCCAAAATCTTGAAGTGAATCGTGGATCTCGATTTGATATAATACTCTTTGGTGTGCCATGTAATCGGACGATCTCCTTCACATAGATCTATGCTAGCTTTTCCAAAGAGTAATTTGTCTTGATGGCTACAAAATGAGCTGATTTAGTCAATTTGTCAACAATCACCCAAATAGCATCATGCCCTGATTGAGTTCTAGGAAGACCTGTGATAAAATCCATGGAAATACTATCCCTCTTCCATTCTGGAATCTCTAGATTTTGCAATAGTCCTGGGGGCTTCTAGTGTTCAATCTTGACCTTTTGGCAAGTTAGACAACGAGAGACAAACTCAGTTACATCTTTCTTCATACTAGGCCACCACCAGTTTTGCTTTAGATCATGGTACATTTTGGTCTCCGGGTGGATAGTATATTTGCTTTTATGAGCTTCATCAAGTAGTAATTTCTTTAACTCTTTATCATTAGGGAGACACACCCTCGCTTTATATCTTAGTATCCCATCTTCACCAATATTAAACTTGGACTCTTTTCCTTGTTCAACTTCTTCCCTAACCCCTAGTAGATACTCATCCTCCAACTGGGCAATTTTAATTTCCTTCCAAGTTGTACTCTCAATGGTTAGTGCTTTCATGGTAGCAACTAACCCAGACATTATATCAATAGGTGTACTTTGCACATCTTGCAGCAGGTTCCACTCCTTGACCATCAATTGGGCTGCATGGATAGATTTTCTACTTAAGGCATCTGCTACAACGTTTGCCTTCCCTGGATGATACTTTAGCTCATAATCATAATCCTTAAGAAACTCCATCCACCTTCTTTGTCTCATGTTAAGTTCTTTTTGATCAAACAAGTACTTCAAACTCTTATGGTCGCTAAAAATTTCAAACTGCGAACCATAGAGATAGTGCCTCCAAATCTTCAATGCAAATACGACTGCTGCCAATTCCAAGTAATGTGTAGAGTAGTTTTCCTCATACGGCCTCAATTGTCGAGAAGCATAAGCAACTACCTTACCATTTTGCATTAATACAGCCCTAAGACCCTTCTTAGAAGCATCAGTATACAAAGTAAAAGACTGTGTAGGGTCTAGAATCACAAGTACCGGTGCGGTGGTCAACTTGGTCTTTAAAGTCTGAAAGGCTGCTTCACATTTCTTAGTCCAAACAAACGGTTGGTCCTTTTTAGTTAGTCTGGTTAAGGGCATAGCTATCTGCAAAAGCCTTTAATGAATCTCCTATAGTAGCTGCCAGTCCAAGAAAGCTTCTAATTTCTGTGACACTTTGTGGTCTGTCCCATTTCAACACTGCATCAATCTTACTAGGGTCTACTGATACACCTTCAGCTGATACAACATGACCCAAGAATTTTACTTCTTTGAGCCAAAACTCACACTTTGACAACTTTGCATAGAGTTTGTGTTCCCTTAACAGTTGCAGCACAATTCTAAGATGCTGTTTATGCTCTTCCTCATCCTTAGAGTAAATAAGGATGTCATCAATAAAGATCACTACGAATTTATCCAAGTAAGGTCGGAAGATTCTGTTCATATAATCCATAAAGATAGCTGGAGCATTGGTTAACCCAAATGGCATAACAAGAAATTCATAGTGGCCATATCTTGTTCTAAATACAGTTTTTGGGATGTCCTCAGATCTAACCCTTAATTGGTGGTAACCTGACCTTAAGTCAATCTTAGAGAATATTGACGCTCCAGATAGCTGGTCAAGTAGATCATCGATCCTGGGCAAAGGGTACTTGTTCTTTATGGTTACCTTATTCAATTGGCGGTAATCAATGCATAGTCTCATGCTCCCATCCTTCTTCTTCACAAAGAGCACAGGCGAACCCCAAGGAGATACACTCGGCCTAACGAAGCCCTTTTCTAGCAACTCCTCGATCTGTTTCTTTAACTCTGCTAATTTTGATGGAGACATCCGATAAGGAGCTTTAGAGATAGGCTCGGTTCCAAGTGCAAGATCAATAGAGAACTCCACTTCTCTCTCCGGAGGCAAACCTGTTATCTCCTCTGGAAACACATCCGAGAATTCACTCACCACTGCAATCTCCTCTACGCCTTTTTCAGCTATTGTGTGAACAGAGAAGAACACCATATAGGCTTGACAACCCTTTCGAATACACTTTTCAACTTGCACTAAAGACAACAGTTGTGGCCCACTAGAACTGGCGAAGGCGACCGGTAAAGAAATGGTCTTCCTTCTACAATCTAGGATGGCGTCATTTGCCGACAACCAATCCATTCCTACAATCAGGTCAATACCCTTTAAGGGTAGACAAACAAGGTCTATAGTGGATGTTCTACCCTCAAATTCAATCATGCAATTCAAGCATGCTTTAGAAGCTTTCACCGAGGCTCCCGCCGGAGTAGAGACAATCACATCACAAGGCAATTCATACATATGCATACTTAGACGAGGCACATAATCATTAGATATAAATGAGTGTGTTGCACCAGAATCAAATAAAGCTTGAGTTTCAAAGCCTTGGAGTTTGAGAATACCTTTAATCAAATTAGGAGAAGTGTTACCTTCTTCTTGAGATAATGCAAACACTCTTCCCGGGACTGCAGCTCTAGTATCATTGACACCTCGTGAGCCTTCCTCACAGAATCTGAAAATGTGGCCCGGTTTCCCGCACTTGAAGCATAATGCAATTTCCTTGATGCACCTTCCCACACTTGGCACACCTTTGACTATTGGCGGTGCTAGTGATAGGAGCTGTAGAACCCCTATAAGAGCTCTGTCCCCCACTGACCTGACTCCTCGGAGGTCCATTGAATTGACTCCTCAAGGGTCCACTGAATTGACTCCTTGAAGGTCCACCAGATTGATTCCTTGAGGGCTGATTAAACCGCTTCTTGGAGTTGTTGAAGCTGTAGGTATTCTTCTTACTGATTCCTCCCGCAGGTCTCATGAATGGAACGGACCTTGTATAAGATTCTTTTCTCTTCTCAGCTTCTTCTTCTCTCATTCTTCTAGCAATGATTCGCAATTTGGTGCACATTTTTTCAAAATCATTAATCTCCAAGGGTGCTAGAGCTGTTCTTAATTCTGGCCTAGCCTTTTCCAGTAGCCTATCAGTCATCCATTTTGAGTCAGGTTGCGTCTGCGGATAAGTAATGTACTTAACTAACTCAAGAAATCGAGCAATGAAGTCTTCCTCATTTAAGTTCCCTTGCTTAAAGGCATAGAATTCTACTTCTTGATTCGCTCTAAGGGCATTAGGAAAATAGTGTTGGAAGAATTTCTCCTTGAACCTTTCCCAAGTTATCTCTATACTTTCAAAAGGCTTGATGTTGTCCCACCACTTCCTTGCTGCCTTTTGTAACAGCTACTCAGCAAGTTGCACTTTTTCCTACGAGGTGCATATTACTATTTTGAATATAGTCTCCAGCCTTTCGATCCATTCTTCAGCTTCAGATGGATTCAGCCTACCCTTAAACTTAGGAGGATCAAACTTTCTAAAACTTTCCCAGAGCAGTGTGATACGCGAGGTCGTGTTGAGAATATGCACTATTGTCGCCTTTCGATTCAGTACCTCTAAGGGTATCACCTATTGACTGATGGTCACTGGGAGCTTCATCATCAACTGGGCCATTTTCTTCTTGATGACTATCACGTTGACCTTTGATTACCAGCAGCTCATCCTCCTGTCTCCTCACTCTTCAATCAATGCTCACAACATAATCTCGTAATTCTCGCAAAATAGCATCATTATCTTGACGAGAAGGAACATTTTGATGTGGAACTGGGGTAAAATTAGTCCTTCGAGTGTTCACCATCCTTCCTTCCTATGTAGAATAGCACAGGGACACTAGGTAAACTAAGCAGCGTTACTAAAATAAACTTTTAATCTAAAAACTAAAGGGAAGTGCACATGTTATTATATTTAAATTGCCATGACCTCTAGCCATTTTTTTTTCCAAATCTTTCTGGAAAATATTTTACATAAAAGTTAATTAAAAAGCCATGGAACGTTATAGCTCTGATACCAAAAATGTAACACCTCACATAATTATATCAATATACGCAATAAAATATTTAATTTAAAAGTCCATACATATTTTTAATACTTGTAAACAAGTCAAATTTCAAAACATTTCTAACATAACTTAACATAAATTATTAAAGTCTTATAGTCATGGCAAATAAAAATATAACATAGCATGTGCTTGAGGAGCACAAAAGCCTTCACGGCTCACTCCATTGGTGCCTTCCCTTGATTCCTACTAGATCCTTCGCCTGAAAATTGTTAATATAGGGGGTGAGATCAAACGTCTCAGTAACTACTGAAATTCTAACCTATACAAGCAAATCATATATGATAAACCAAAAATCCGTTTATATGTGTGTATATAAATATATTAAAAATCACGGATTTGATACATTCAATTCAATTTGATTTTTTTTTTCCAACAATATACCAATATCATTTTTCTAATATATCCAAAATAATGCAATATGCTGCCTCCCTTATATCACCGTCCACCCTTATACCGCTGACTGGAGCCATAGGCTAACACATAGTCTGATAGGAACTAATCCATTTTACTGAATTATTCCAAGCTCACCGATACGAGAGATATATCCGGCCAAAGATATAGAGCTCAAGCTCGGACTATGGCTCCCCTCCTTTGTGAATAGGGAGGTGTCACATGTACCACAGCTCCAATGAATTCCCGGCCAAAGGAAAACATGGAAGAAGGGGCCCTGACAAGTGCCATCCACTGTGCACCGAGTGATAGCATACCACGTGGTAATTTTATATCCATGCAATCTCCTTCTATCCTTAGCCCAACAATGCATGTCAGATGCTAATAATGTTACATCATAAATACGTCCTCAAATATTTTAAAGATAAGATAGCAATAAAACTTATATACCATTTAATAGCAACTCACGACAATTCCTTAGCCATCAATATATTTAAACATTATCATAATTAATAGCAATAAATCTTAACAAAATCAAATAACATATCAAAACATTTATTTGAAATCATAATACTACTTTTCAGTATGATATAAAAATTAGTAAATCCACAATATCATCATACACAATTCACATGTACAAGAAAGAATTTTCAGAGTTACCTGGTACTCTTTAGCTTACAAATATTCACACAAAGATTACTCCAAAATTCTCAAGTCTACAAAATTGCACATAAATATTTATTAACATAAACTCAAAACTACTCCAAAGCTACTCTAAAATTCTAAGACTACCCTCTAAACCAAAGTTACATAAATATATTAACTCTCCCAAATCTAGCATTTATAATAAATATTATTTTGAAAAATAATTTACATATAAGGCTATTTAACCCAAAATCTAAATATTTTATATTAAAATTCTCAATTATTTATTATAATCTCATTTAAAATTTTTCCTCAAACCAAACAACTTCTTTTTAAATTATAAACAAACTGTAGCTTTATCTAATTTCACAAAATTCTCAATTTATAATTTTTCAAGCCTTCAAAAATTATTTCAAAAATATATATTTAATTTATTCAATATTTAAACCGATTAAAACCTCACTAATATATTAAATAACTCAAATAAATTATTTAACTCAAATTTAATCGGTAAAAACATATTACAAGTCTAAATAACAAACTTTTCAACTAAAATCTTAGTTTAAAATTCTCAAAATAATCATTCAACAAAAATAAACTGATTAAAATTCCTTAATAATGTATCTTTAAATTTCTACGGTCATATATTGTCAAAACTCCATATTTACTCTATACCCAAACAGCAAAATTTTCTCTAAACATTATAATGATAATAATAATATAAAGCTATAAATATATAGGAAATATTCATAAAGAAAATTTGATAAAGAGAAGTATATTTGTGTACCTAAATGATCTCCAAAACTTGTCAGGTGCTCTGCAACTTAGCTTTCTCTCTCTTTCCCTCTTTGCTTCTCACTCTCTTCTCTCTTCCTTTGATCTCTCTTCCTCCTTCGTCTCCTCTCCCCCTCTTTTAAACTCACTCCTCCCAACTTCTAACTATCCCTCCTCCCATTTTCTTCATTCATTTATTGTTTTTTCCCAAATTCTTCCTTCATCTGTTCCTTTTCTTTCGTTTTCTTGCTCCATTTAATACTTGTGCCCCTTGTTTCTTTATTCTTGACTAATTGCCCAACTTTTCCACCGACTTCGGTGGAAAAGCTGGGTATTGTTTTTTTTTAATAATATATATTATTTTAATTAATTGATTTTGATTTTTTTTTTTACAGTATGTTACACTCTTTGTCAACCACGTTGTTAGAAAATCTTTAAAATGTCAAGTACTAAGGTCTCTTAGCTTCCTCACGTAGTGGTTCATTTTTTGATTGTTAAACTATAGTTGATGTTCATATATGGTAATATTCAAATAGTTTTGTTGAGATAATGCTTGGTGTTCGTCTGGTAATCTTCAAATGGTACTGCATAAATGTCTACCGATTTAGGTAGGGAGGTGGTAAAATATAAATAGATGAATGAAAAAAAAAATATAACATTTGACGACGGTTTTATGGCAAAACCGCCGTTACATATAATTTCCACGGCGGTTCTATCTTAAAACCGCTGTGGAAAATAATGTACAACGGCGGTTTACTAATAAACCGCCGTGAAAAAATTAACTTTCCACGGCGGTTTTAAGATAGAACCACCGTGGAAAATTAACTTTCAACGGCGGTTTTACATAAAACCGCCGTTGAAAGTTAATTTTCCACGGCGGTTAATAACCGCTGTGTTTTCTTATACTTTCAACGTCGACTCTTTTTACTCCGCCTCCAAAACTGCCGTTAAAAGCCTCAATTAACCGCTGTTAAAAGCTATTTTTCTAGCAGTGTGGTCTGGTCTTATATGGCTTTATGTCCAATCTTGGGAGAGGCTTAAGTCTTAATGCAGAACTCTAAAGTATCCTTTAGGCACTGAAGTAAGCTTGGGATATGCAGTTCTGCTGCATCACTATAGATACAAATCGTTAGGAGGCTATTGAACTACTTTCAGCTAGTTAGCCCGATGATCACAATGAAAGACGACTACTCTCTGAGATACAAAACTGGTTGGGAAAATAATGGCAAGTCACAGTGAACTGGTGCAGCAGAGACATCAATAGAGTTGCTGATACATTGGCAAAGGAGACCTTTTATATTGCTACTGGAGCTATCTTTTTTAGCACACCACTTGAGTTTATTTTGCATTTGATTTTGTTGGATGCAGATCCCAAGTAGTTAGTTATGGACGTTTACATTAGGAAAAAAAAAAGGATATGTCAATATTATATGTCATCTATTAGCACCTAAATTGAGATAAATTGATAAGTGACAGTGCAAATAATGACAAGTGATGTTGCAATAATTAACAAGTGATAATGTAATTAATGACAAGTGATTTCATAATTTTATATTAATAACAATTTTATATCAATTCTAACCAAAATGAATTAGCGTAAAAGAATTAACTTGAAATCACATTTTTTGAAACTTATATCAGCAAATGAATTGACAAGTCATAGTGCAACGAGTGACAAATAAGGGTGTATTAACAATGAAGGATGATAATAATTACAACTAAAATAACATCAAAATCTAGCATATCAGTTTATAGCCTACTTTCATTTAGAACTTCATCATATATGTGTAAGTACATCAATTTCACAATCCATCCAAATAAAAAACCATATGGATTGTTTGTATCCAATACTGAACTAACTGTTGGTCTGTATTGTCATATCTACAAAAATTTATATTCACATTCATTTACAAAAAAATCCCTTCACATGCATTTTCAAAAAATAGGTTTTCACAACATCTTCTTGGTTTAGATTTGGATTCTTGCATGTCTTGGCAGTATGTCCAGTCTCATTGCATCTTCCTTTACTACTTTTATATATGCACGGTCATTATTTCTATTCTCTTCTATATATGCATGGCCACTTTTTTTATCGAAGTTTATTAAATGCTCCACCCCATTATCATCTACCAACTCCACAAATGTATTTTTATCAAATATAACTGAGAATTTCAAAACAAAAGAGTTACTTTCTTTTTCAAAAATTGATTATATAATTTCCTTCAACTCTTTGTAACTTATGCCTTCTTTTATGTTTATTGTTCTTACCCTACCCTCAACATAGTGCATATCATCCTCTTCATCATTTATAAATTTCCCCTCTGTATGGGGAAAAAAAACAAAATAGATGCTTTACGGATATGCTCACCATCTTTAATGTAAATCCCCATGACACAGTTGTTATTAATAAGTGAAGCAACAATATTAATAACTATCATGGCCTACATTGATAACTCTCTATTT